CGAGTTGCCTGGCGACTCGCTGCCGTCAAACATTTTGGATACAAAGCTGATCTGGGTGGACGCCCCGCCGAGGTCCAGGGCCCCTGTGGTCTTCAGACCCTGCAGTCGCGCACACACACAAGCATCAAAGTCAGATGTGCGGCAGAACTTGGCCAATAAACAACAAACGAGATCCACAAACATGACAGCCATTACCGAGTAACTAATCACGAACCACATGTGAACACATGTAGTAGTAATTACGCAATAAAAGCTCCTACTTAATCTGTTGACTTATTTTTTTTTTCTAGTGCTCGAGAAATGTTTTTCTTCTCCTCTGCAAAAGTCACTGGACTTCAACGAGGACTTGCGTCAAGGACCTGTTTGAGGCGGTCGTCCAAGTAGTTGACAGTGACCCATCCGAAGGCGCCCTCCTCCTGGCCGCTGAGGATCCTGGCGCCCTGGTAGGAGAACGGGAAGGTCTGCAGGGTCTCCGACACGGCCCGGAACACCTCGTCGGATGCCGAGCTGTTCTGCAAACTACGCACAAACAAACTAATGCATTAGCTTCCATCGATCGATGGCTGGTTAATCATTTCGTGTGAAAGATTTCGAAAACTACAGGGCCTCCTTGACGATTCGTTTTTTTTGTTTTGAGTTGTGAACAAAAATTCACATTCACAGGAAAGCAGCAAAATTGACAGCGGGGGACATTCCTGCCTGAACGGATGGCGTCCTTCCTTACTCGAGCAATCTCATCCCGGCGGTGGCTCCCAAGTAGAGGGGCGTCTGGGCGTGTCGCTGCTTGGGAATGTTCTTCTCGGCCTCCCGCATGCACTCCCGCAAGGACTGGCCGGCCTTCCACGGCGTCCCCGCGTAGCTGGAGATACCCGGACCTGCCAACGCGGAAAGTTCACATTCATGTTTTAGTTCGTCAAGTCAAGCCAGCGCACTGGTATAACCGCTTGGGCATGCTCGTAATTTTTTTTTTAACCTTAAAGTTGATATTAAGGTGATCAAAATTACTGTTCAAACGGCGTAGAACCATTGGAGATGCTGTATTGGGCCATTTTAACCCAATGCTATTTTTCTTTTGAGTTAAAAAAAAAATAAATTAAAAAATAGTCCAACAACAATAAATTCTAACCCGAGTGAAACTACCAAAAATGGTTTTGTAAATCCTCCTAAGCAGCGATGCGTGAAAAGTGCCTCGGCCTACCCTTGACATTGCAGGAGTGTTTCTGCTCAGCTCGCCCCGTGTTGTTGTCCTTCTCGGCGGGCCACTCGTAAATGAAGACAGTCGTGTGCGACGAGCCGGCGTCCAGTACAATCCCGTACTGTTGGGGGGGGGGGGGGGGAGGAAATAAATTGCCGCTGAAAACATCTTCTGAATGTGTGCGTGTCGGGGGAGTGGTGGTGGGATGCGCTGATACTTCGAAGCGTGACAAATGATTCATTGAGCATTTGCAGACACGCAGATAAACAGTTTAGTGCAACTGCAAGTGTTTACTTAAACAGCTTCGGAGTTGCTAATGTAGACCAGATGTGACGCCAGGGATTGTCAAGTCATGACATCATCAGACATTAGAGCTCTCTTTTTTTTTGTTTTACATGCTACTCAACAGTCTGAAGTTGTATTGCAACTAAACTGGACGCTTCCCTTGGCAACTTGACGGCCAGGTGGCTCACTGGCCAGAAAAAAGGACTTCACAGACACGCAGTAGGAGAATGTTGTTGTTTTAAGGGTTAAGAATATACCATGTGTTAAATAAAAGATACATGGAGCTTAAAAAAAAAAAAAGTTATTGTCACTTGTCACTATGCAAGAATTTATATGGGCCCAATCTGGTGTACATATGCAAGAAAAGTAATGCAAAACCTGCCAGATTAAGATAAGATTTAAGCATCCAGCATTAATTCCACAATTTTACGGGTACTCTGCATGAATTATAAAAGACAAGACGATGACGACGCTTACCACTTCTTCATAAGTGGTAGATGTTACCATCTTACCTTGTACTTTTGTGGCAGGGGCATGTTCTGGACCACAAAGACCACCACCAGGGCGACCACGGCGACCACGGCAATCACCGCCACAATCACAATCCCAGACTTGTGCCATGGGTTCTTCTCTTTCATGGCTGGGGGTGGGGCGAAGGCGGGGGCGCATCACCAGACGGAGAGGAAGCAGAGGTCAGAGGGTAGAAAAAAAAAAGGAGAAGTTAGCATTAGCACTAAACCAGCTTGCGCCCAGATGCGCCTGTGCGTGCGTGCGAATTTTGTAGCTGAGTCACCGAAAGAGAGGAAGCGGGCAGACTGTGTCGTCCTCCGGTGATTAATTATTTTTAATTGAGCATCCCCTCATAAAAATTTGACAGATTTTCATTTGGGGGTTGCGGCACTGATAGCGTTTGAAGTGACGCCATGTATATGAAATCCCACAAAATAATTTATATACTGTGTTATATAACACAAAATTCTATTGAAATCAGGGGATCGTTTGCTTTGAACGAACCGAGGCATGGAGCTCGCTTTTTTTCGTCCCAAATGAATGCGAGTAAATTCTTAAAAGCGGATGTTGAGTTAACACATGGTTGTTAAACATGAACAGAAAAGGTTACGCCTGCTATATTTTTTTTACGATGCCAAGAAACAGGCCGGATTTCCTCGTCTTTCCCGTGTGTTTAGGGCTTTCCGACTGTTTACTGATGGGGAAACACACACCCGTACACGTACACACACACACACACACACACGCGCAAATAGCCTGTGTGCTGTTTGCACAAGGAGGAGAAAAAAAACAAAAAAAATGAGAAAGATGAGAAAGTGTCGCTTCCTTACCTGCGTTGTTGACTCAAGTCAAATGAAAGAAAAGCGAGAGAAGGAAGAGCCCTCCGCCATGACAAGTGGCCACTGTGTGTGCGTGTGAGTGAGTTTGGAATGGACAACCCGCCGCCCTCCTCAAAGTTTCCATGGCAACACCTTTACCCCCGCCAACCAATGAGAGCAGCCGAGGAGCCGTGCCTGCACGGAGGAAGCGGGGGACTCCCTTGTTTGGCTCTTGTTTAGCACCCAGATGATGTCATCACTGTGACGGATCGGGATCCCCTGCCTGTATCCTTCTGTGTGTGTGTGTGTGTGTGTGTGTGTGTGACTGGCCTGCAAATTTGTGGAGCCATTCATAAAAGCGCTCTTTTGTTTCCTCCATTTTTTTTTTCTACGCCAGTCCCTCCCCAGCACATCCAGGGTGCATTGAAAGGTGACCAATGCTACAACTTTTGAGTATTTCCTAATTATTCTTAAATGCTAATGTCAGCTGCAATTTTGGTCCAAAACGGTGGGAGGGGCGCAGGGGGGGATGCAAAACTGTGAGAGTGCTGGTTGCTGATCGGAAGTGGCGTCATGATGAATCTAATTTTGTATTACTAATTTTGAGGGAGGGAGGCAGTGACGAAAAAAAAAATTGTGGCTACTTTGAACGCACCAAATTCGAACTCTGCCGGGACGTAAGAGGAAGTTTGGCGACAGCAAGAAGAAGAGGAGATGTGAAGAAAGGGGAAGTGAGGAGAGCAGGAGGTCAAGTGTGTCACAAGGTCCCACGGCCCCAAGTCAAGTCAGACGCTGCACGGAGGTTTATTTAGGGCAGGACACCACTGTGAAACTTTGAAAGAAAAGAAAAAAAAAAAACGTTCCTGATCTCAGCAAGTCACACACTCACTGCAGACGGTCTGCCTGTGGCTCTTTACACATTTGCAGGTTCATCAAGAAAGATTCTCAACGCTACCAAATAGTTCGACAGTTTTATGTACATGGACTCAGTGCACTCACTCAAGTCATGTCTCGCTTTGCCACGCTCATCAACGAAATGGCCATCATCTGCTTGGGCCCTCCCCCAAAAACACCACAGTTGTTTTGTCATCGGTTTCTGTTTCCACACCAAAGCGTCAAAGCAATCCATTTTTAGCCAAACAGGTCGAATCAACGATGACGAACCTCAAAGGGTCGATGACAGAATGGATGTACGCTAGATGGACAGATCAGCGCACAGACTGATGGGAAGGCAGAGAGAGACTCCGATGGATACTTTGATGGCAGATGGATGAGTAGATGAATGGATGGATGTGAGACTGGAAGATGGGCAGACAAACTGGTCGATGTATCGAGGCACATAGAAAAGCCTGTAGGTGACCGTTGGAAGGAACAAATGGCTCCATAGACTGGTGGATGGCGGACAGATGGAAGAACCCCCCCCCGGCTCTCCTCCGCAACAATAAATATCATTTGTCTATGAAATTGTTATCCGTGAGCCTAACAAAACGAAACGTGAGAAACCCAAACCGAAATACAACGTGCAAAGAATAACTGCAAAAAAACCCAACAACAAAACAGCTTTGCGCTCACACTAATAACAGCGCCACTGCCACCTACTGTAGTGGGTGTGCAGTGACACTTTTAGTACAGAGAAAAAAAAAAAAAGAAATGTGACTTCCCCCCCCACTCAGCAAGTACAAAATCACAAGTGCGACCGTGACTAAAACTAACAAACAGGCGCAAACACACCCAGCATGGTCAAGCAATTATCTGATTGATTTAACACAAGCTGGCCATTAACTCAGCCACAACACACACACACACACACACACACACACACACACACACACACAGCACCTGTTTTCACACAGACCTCCTTGTGTTTGTCTGTTATCAGTGCACTCACCTCTTTGTGCAGACATCTCAGCAGCAACACAATTGTGTGTCTATCCCCTTCTCTCTCTCTTTTAAAGCCTCTCTCTCTCTCTCTCTCTCTCTCTCTCTCACTGAGTTCCTCTTCCTGTCTCTCGCACGCTCGCTCTCTCACATGCACTTGCTGCTCAACCCCCTCCTTCTTCCTCAGACTCACCCTACACCTTCATCACCACCCTCATTTCCTTAACTTTCCATCTGCTTCTGCTCAACGCCCCCAGCTCCCCGCCCCCCCACGACCCCCTCCCACTGTCTTTCTCTGTAAAACGTGGCACACACATCGTGGTACCGAAATCCTGGAAAGCGAAGGACATCATCAGCCTTATCAGCGCCCATTTAAAATGTTAGTGGGGGGCGGGGTGGGCGCAGTGTGAGTTGTTATGCAACTAAATTCCAGTCCGATGGGAAAAACCTTGAGACCACGGCGATATCAAGGTCTGCAGGAACTTCAGGGGTTCCGGGCTTGTTTGTGACAATGCGCTTCATTGTCATGTGAAGCGAGCTGTGGGACTGTATAATTAAAAAAAAAAAAAAAAGAACATTTTCCTCGCATGGGGCATATCCAACAATGGCCCTTTGGTGGAATTAAAAAAAAAAAAAAAAAACCTGTGGCAACAGGAATACGATGGTGGGGCAGTGCCCTAGTAAACCAGTAGAGGGCAGTGTTAGGGCACACTGGGTGGGCAAATCGTCAATTTCTCCCTCCATCAACGCAATCGATGAGGTCGTACTTTTGACCACATTTTAAAGAGTGAGGCCTGTTTAACCCAAGCTCAACAAAGTGAGAGCATTTGGGATTCATTTTTGTAAGCCACGGAATCGACAAATTTCCCTTCAGGCGTTCTAACATGAGCCTATTTGTTTTTTTTCCAATGACAATCCAAATATTTGAGAGAGGGTTCGAGGGCATTTTAATGTCAAAGCCATCTAACCAGTGCGCGCACACATGCAAAAAAGTGTTTTCCCGACTCGCCCCGTTAGCTTGCAATATAGTACAAACAGGAGCGGCCATATTATACCAACATGAGAAGACGACGCATGAGAATATCTCAATGAAACATTTCACAACAGTGGGTGCTTTGTGCAACAAACACTTCTGACTCACACACACTCAATTACATACAAGTTTGTGGACTGTCAAGTCTTCTTCACTCTAATGAAATGGCGTCAGCATGACAATATTTCAGCCGCGTCAATTATTGCGGGTGAAGAAGCGATGGGGTGTGGGTAGAACTTAGCTGGCCTGCTGTATGATGACTGACGACTGCGCATCCGTCACGTGAACGCACCAGGTGTCAGTGGTGTTAAGGAAAAAAAGTCAAATGTGACCTGTGGAAAGGTGCATTGAAACAAAATGTGTTCATTTGAAGCTGCATTGGCAAACTCACCGCTTATTCTGGAGCTGATTTAGATTTGCACATTCGGCCGCAATGTGTCCGCAACGTGAGCGCACCAGGTGTCAGTGGTGTTTTTAAGGAAAAAAAGTCAAATGTGACCTGTGAAAAGGTGCATTGAAACAAATTGTGCTCATCTGAAGCTGCATTGGCAAACTCACCGCTTAGTCCGGAGCTGATTTAGATTTGCACATTCGGCCGCAATGTCAAGGCGACGCCACACGTCTCGCCGAATCTCCTCTTTTCAGTTCTGCTTCGATGAGTGACACGTCAGAAGCCTTTGGGGAGGTCTGAATGTGTTCAACCGACACCGTGAAGGCTTGTCAGACTCACTTGGTGTTTGCTGCCGACGGTGCCATAATAAGAGCATCCGTCTTAACATCCAAGTATCACCTAACAATATTAATATCACATAAAATATTCATATCACATTACGAGGGCAATGTACTTTCCTTTGCACTAAAAGCTAAAAAATGTAATTAGAGAACAGATCATATACATCTGCTACGGAGCAGAATGCTACTGATAGCTCCCACACTTCTGGGAAGACTTTCTGCAAGAAGTCGTGACAGGGCTTCCCGAAAATTGGACCACGACTTGTTTCGCATTAGGCCCCGCCTACCCCTGACTGCGGTATTAGTCGTGAGTCAGTCAACGTGTCACTTAATCCAGGCATCATCTGCGATTGTCGGCGAAGGTAGCAAAATGCGCGTTGACGTCAGAGTCCCTCAGGGTTCGCTCAAGGTCGCAAATGGTCGCAAAGCCCTTTTTTTTTTCTTGCCGCAAGAACATTTTTGAACATGTTCAAAATTCCCTTGCAGCAAGAAAAGTCTGCGAGCGACTGGGAAACATCTGCGACCATGAACAAACCCTGACAAATCTGAGAAGCCACTTCACTCACTCGGCGGGAGCCGCGCCGCAGCATGTCGCCTGAAGAACCAAAGTCGGGATGTCCGCCCCCACCCCCCTCCACTTTATTTATTGCATCACTCCCGGCTCCAAAAGCGTGGAAGCATTTCGGGCTTTTCGTCCGGTCGGGTATGCATTATTTCAATGGGTGCAGAGTATGACACTGGGGTCGTGTTGACGTTGCCACGCAACCATAGATGTCAGCTATGCCACCTTCAATGATGTTTGCAGTCAATGAAAGTCCAAGAGCATCGCGAGCGGAAAGAAAGTCGAAAATAGAAGATCAAGCGACAACAGCGGGATTAATCCATAATTCATACGACCTCGAGACACACGGCTGACCTTCAATTGGGGCGGGGGGGCTGGTGGCGCGTTACCGTGGCAATGGGGACCCTGAGGAAGTGTTATGAGGAGTCCACAAAGAAGCTTTTCGATGCTCTGCAACATAAGAAACAGGGTTGTTGGACACGTACTCAAATTGTGACAGACTGTCAAGATCGCGTGGCTTCAAGCTGGCGTGCCACATGCTTCGATCCTCACCGCAAACTCAAATGTCATCACACCAACAACTCGCACTTTAACGAAAGCAATATGCTTATTATGAAGGCAGAAAGGCACCCCCGGTGGCCCCCCGAAAAGTCAACAACACTGCCCTCAGCTGGTTTGAAGTATTAACAACAAAAAATCATTTAATAATGACTATTGTAATTGAGAAAAATGTAAACGGCATGCATGCACGCGCACACGCACACACAATAAGTTTGTCCAATCCAATGAAATTCTTCCCAAAGTTGAGTTTAATGCGGTCGCCGAGTTATTTTGGAATCTTTACAATCAGACAAGCCGCCAAGTCTCTTCCAGGTTTCATATTACTTGAATAAAAGGTGTGTTGTCTGTGTTACTTTTGAAATCATCGACTCTTACTGCATTCTAATTTGTGCTTTTCTTTCCGTTTGAATTAATAGTTGGTAAAATTAGTGTTCACAAAAAAAAAAAAAACTAGCACCCAAAAAAATCTACATGTAAGTTTTTGGTTGTAAAAGGCTGAGTTTTATGTGCTTTTTTTCCTTGATTTAAATGCGCCAGGTGTGCGAGGTACACAACGAAGGCTGAATTATATTTGAGGACTTGATGAACATGTCACGCAGTCATCATAAAATGCCAGGGGGAAAAAAAAAAACAAGCAAACAAACAAAAAAAGTTTCACAAACAAAAGGTGGCTTTCGGTAGATAAATACATTTACAACTTTAAAAAATATTACATGGACATAAACATTGCAAGGTACAATATTATACAATAATAACAACTGAACTTATCAGACAATTATCATACATACTGCAAAATATAAATTACCACTTTGTTTTATTTAACCCATGTACAATTCTTTTTATATATAATACAGGCTGGGCGGAGGTTTAGTTGATGTTAGGGCAAGTGCATAGCAAAAAATACATCGTTTACCAATCGGCTTTAGAGAGAGAGAGAAAAAAAAAAGAAAAGACAACGACAACGTTGATAAGGCGAAGAATCAACTCATTTAAAGTTGGCATAGTCAGAGAAAATGTCCACAAAGTCTTGTACCACCCTGTAGCAGAAGTCGTACTGCTCCTGTCAGCCATAAAAACACACACACACACACACACACACACACACACACACACACACACACACACACACACACACACACACACACACACAAAAGAACAAAAACAAACAAAAAAAAAAATGGTCCATTTAATTGTTTGATTTCACTCACGTTGGTCTTTCAATTGAGGAAAAAAAAATGCACCCATAGTGCATTTGGACTGAATGAGTTTTTTTAAGTAACGAACTACAAATGAAAGTAGATTTTGTGCTGGTACTCACCACCGTCTGGACCATGTGCGGCCTCTGCATTCGTAAACTCTTGACAGTTTGGAAGACGTCGAGCAGGCCTTCCGCTTTGACGCGCTCCAAGATGTTGCTCAGTGCAATGAACGTACCGGTCCGACCGGCGCCGGCGCTACAAAGCGCGCCACAAAGCCACACGGGGCCGTTAACACCACATGCGGCACCAAAAAGGTTTTGCCATCAGTTTGAACTGAGGTCAGCGGGCTTCAGTTAATTGTCTGCCACGTCTGTAACCCGTCGGCGACCGTTTCGGACCATTGTGAAAAGGTCCGCGGCGCCCTCTAGTGCGTGTACCTGCAATGCACCACAATGGGATGGTTGCCCGACTGCTGCTGCTGCCGCTGCACCGCCGCAATGATGTCGATCATGCCCCGCCCCTCGGCCGGGATGCCCACCTCGGGCCACCCGTGGAAGTGGAAGTGCCGGATCACGCGCGTCACCTTCTCCTATTGTAAGAAAGCCGTGTCAAGAGGAATTGAAGTAGATGATTGACTGACTATTTTGACCAAATCAAAATTGTTTTCCACGAATGATGAAAAAGCGTTCTTACCGGCAGGAAGGTGAGTACCAAGTCTCGTAGGCTGAAGGCGTCGCACAAGGCGTCGCCCTTCATCTCCACGCTGTAATCGCCGTACGTCTGCGACTCCTCACTGGGCCAATACTGGTAACACTTGTCCTGAAAACACACACCCACGTCTTTAACCCTTACATCATGTTTCTTTTTCACGAACACGCAACATGTTGGTCGTCAATTTGGACCGGCTCAGACGACGACGGCATACCTGCTCCCTCTCCTGCAGCTCGGTCAGCATGACAATGGAGTGACACTTCCACTCCCACACCATCCTCCAGAAGTCCTCCACCGTGTGCTGCAGCGGGCCCTGCGTGGCAATGAAGTAGTCCTTTTGCCGGTAGCCCTGTCGACACAAGAAAAAAAAAAATAAAAAATTTCATTCATTGGAATGCGTGTGAAGAGCAAAAGAAATGCTCAGGTGCATGCATGCATCACAGAGAGGATCTTACGTCTATAAAGGATGCGTTGACGTAATCAGTAAACTCCTGACCTCTCCTCATGGAGAGAATCACTCTGTTGAAGTCATCTAAAAATGGAAGGAAAAAAAATGGGTTCAAAATCAAACAGAAGATGGCATTTCCTCTGCGCTATTGTTCCTCCTCCTCTTCTCTTCTCTTACACGGAATGATTTGCAGCACCCTGTTCTTCTTCATGTTGGCGGGCAGGTTTCCCGTTCTCATGTTTTCCTTCATGATACGCATGTTGGTCAGTTTCTGAGACACAAACACAACATTGAGAATCCTCCAAATAAGCAGCAGCACCGGAATCTGCCCTAAAATGTCTGCTTCCAACCAAAACGGACAATCTTGATCTATGTGTCCTGTCAGCATATCCACTGAACTTTCTGTCAATCAGTGAAAAAGGCGTCAGAGGGCTAATTTTTTTTTTTTCTTCCCGGCTTACCTTGAACTCCTCCTCTAGGCCGACGCGGTCGCCTTGGTTGAAGGTGTTGTGCAGCTTGTGCAGGTGTCCCTCCAAAGACGACACATCCAGCTCCGTGTCTCCGTACAGAAAGTACTCCAGCAGCGCCTGGTAGATGAACGAGTACTGCATCTGCGGGACGGAAAGGAACGAGGAAAGTCTGTGTGAAAATTGACCGCGCGCGCGCCGCATGTACGAAGAGACGGTTTGGGTCGGCGCCCCGACTCACGTCCGTCTGGATGAGCTGCGAACGCTGCTCTCGGATTTTCGAAACGAAGCCAAACACGTCCACTTTCTGCTCGGCGTGCATCATGTCGATCATGCCGTCAATCACGATGAACGTGCCCGTCCGACCAACGCCGGCGCTGGGGGAGGGGTCAACATCAGGCATGTCAACTTTGGATCGATGCCGTCAGAGATATGAATGGAACGGTATATTGATTTATTCTTGGGGTTGGACAGACCCGCGCCTCATATTGTGATCAGCTCTATTTTTAATATTAGCCAGACAAATATTTTGAAGCGCGACGCCTTTCGTGTACCTGCAGTGGACCACGATGGGCCCCGCAAAGGCCGGATTGAGCGCCTTGACTTTCTTGAGGAACTTGAGCATGCCGATGGGCGAGAAGGGCACGCCGAAGTCGGGCCAGCTGGTGAAGTGGAGCTGCGTGACCAAACGCAGCATCTTGCCGGCGTCGCTGGATTGCTACGAGCAGAACGGAACAAAAGTGTTAGCGTGGCGAGCGTGGCACACAATGAGCCGTTTGGTGCTCACGCCAGCGTACGTATTGGATGCAGAACTTGCGGATGGTGTAATCCACCAGCACGGTGAAGTCCTCCACTGCTACGCGCACGTTCCCGTACGTCCAGCAGCCCTGATCCGGCCAGTACTGGTAACACTTGTCCTACACGGCAATGGACAACATCTTCCAATTTGTACAAATCACAAATTGAGAGTGCTTAGAAGGGTAATTTTCCACCATGGTTTTTTCTGTTCCTGTTGACACTCGCAACAGAAAATAATTTTAGTTCTAACTGATGAGTTTTTGGGAGGATTGTGGGTATCAGAAGCCCCTTTTTCCACCTGCTTCGCTGCGTGATAAACACTCACTTCCTTCCTCTCCTTCAGGTTGGTCAGCATGACAACAGTCGACACCTTCTGCTCCCAAATCATCCTCCAGAAATCGGCGACCGTGTCCTCCTTTGGACCTGGCACAACAAAATCTTGTTGCTTTGTTTGTTTGAAGTAACTTTAATCAAGTGTACATCAACGTACCTTGAGCTGCTATGAATTTGTTCTTTATGGTGAAGCCCTGTTCAAGGAAAACATGTGTAATCATGTAAAATAGCTGGAAACAAAAATAAATCACATGATGATTTATCTTCCGCTCACGTCGATGTAAGAGGCGTTGATGTAGTCGCAGGCGGGGCATCCTTCCAGCTGAGTTAGCACCACCCTGGAATGATCATCTGAGGGACGAAATTCAATTCATGATAACATCCAAGAAATACGTCAAATATGTCACAGGCCCTGTGAGGGCGTGGTTAGCTTAGCTTAGCACAGAGCGACCAAACACCGCATCTTTCAAGATTGCATTTCATGAGGGGCAGTCAAAACAGAAATGCCAACAACCCGATCAAATATATATTTTTTGTTTAAACGTATCCACTTCCGGCGCCGAGGCTACTCACAGGGAAGAATGTTGGGATATCTGTTCTTGTCCTTGTTGTTCTCCTTGTTGGCCTCCTCGTACGTTCCTTGGGCGTGCCCTCCCGGCAGCGACTGTCCAAACAAATTGTCAAAATGTCAATTGAGCCCACATGCATGTGACACTAAAAGCAGACGACGGACTATTTAGCTGCACTGCATTGGTTATTCCAGTTGAGTCATTTCCTCTGCTACAAGCACCCATCACACCTCCTTCGTTAATTCATGTGTGCACTTCCTCTATTAGCGGCGCACGCGAAATAAAAGTCACATACGAAACGTTATACTGACTCAAATGCTGAAAGAGGAAAGGGGTATTTTTCATGCGAGGATGTATGCATGAGTCACGGAAAAAAAAAAAGTCTCAGTAGTTTTCCCCAGTAGAGTCATTGAATTCAGGTTCGTGAACGAACCGGTCCCTGTAGATGGCGGAGTTGCACCACTTTGGAAATCAGATCTACACAGATGACCCAAGTGAATTTTTGATTGTCAGGGTGACTATGGGGGAGAGCAACGCCATCTCTCGTGTTGATCCCCGAAGAACAGAGAAGGCGAGAAACAAACTTTTTGTCTGACAAATTGGATGCTCACAAAGGCACAGAGCGAGCAAGCCCTAAAAGTTTGGCTAATCGGGCAACTCTGCTGGCAGAGAATGAGTTAACAACGAACAGCGTTGATTTGCATGTTGCCGTGGCCCTCGATAACTTTTCCAGTTTCTCATTTGGCCGATTTGGAAAAAGAATTAGGCACCCCTGCACTGCAGTTTTGAAAGCCTGGCATTAGACAACCGTCAAAAGGCAGCATTTCCCCCCCACGAAGTCACTGTTGTGTATAAACAGCACTGACGAGAAAGGGGAGGGACAAAGTCCACCTGGCAGTTTTCCATATTTAGTGTTAGTCTAAGAAGGTCCCTTGACATTGCCTGCCTGAATTTTTCCATGTCCCTTCTCCGTATCAACAGCACTCAGGGAACGGGGAGACAAAACGGACTCAATTGGTGACTTTGAGCGTGTATGGCTTGAAAAGCAGAGTTGCTCGCTGTTAACGGGCTAACAGTGAGTCGTGGCCATCGTGTACGAATGTTTATTTGTGATATTGGAGTCATCGATGCAGAATGACGCCCCTTCTTTGCGCTCATAAAAGACAAGCAAATACTTGTGGCATCTTCAGACGCAGGACCTCCGTGACAAAGACAGCACTCAAGAGGGCTTACGTTGTACTCCTCCCGGAAGAGTTTTCCGTCGTCAGCCGAGCGCAGCCTGTACTCGTCCTCCAGGTGTTCCACGGCGAGCGGCGGGTAGTTCTTGGCGGCAGAGGGGGATCTGGGCAGGAGGACCACCGTCGCGTCTGCGTCCAACAAAATGATCGCGAGAACGTGTCGCTATGTTTTTGTCAAGTTGTCGACAGGAAGTCAAGGACGACCACAATGAAGCCATGTGAGAGAGTCACGCAGCGGCTGCTCTTGTCACATTCTCTTCCCTTCCATCACAATAAAGCGCTTTCACTTGCCTTGCTCCTCCAGGTTGCCATTCGGCAGCTTCTTGTCGACTGTGGTGACCACCGCTTTCCTCTGGTTTTTTAACCTAAAACACGCGTACATTCAAATCAAATCCAGAAAAACAAACAACAGACAGAAAAAAATAAAACTTCCTACCATCTGAAGCTGGAGAAGGTCGTCTTTCTCATGAGCTAACGCGTTGGGAAGACGGCCTTTTTGTGTTCTTTCACTCTGCTCTGTTAACGAGCGGCCGACCGACTGACTGACTGACTGACTGACTGACTGGCTTGCTTGCTTGGCTGTCAGAGGGAGGCAATGAGCGCCGCTTCCTGACTCGGGCTCCGCCTCGGCGACTAGAGGAGGAAGTGTTTGTCACCCGGAGCTCTGCCTCGGAATCTGGCTACAAGCCAATCAGTGAGGGCCCACGGTCGAGGAGGAGGGGTAAGACAGCGGCGTTTGTTTATAGATAGATATATAAAGGCCGCATACTTTCGCTTCCAATGTACTAAGCCACAATCGAGTCGACATGGTTCAGTAATACGCTCAAAACAACAGAATTGTTCAGATTCATTTGGTTGCCTGTTGCTAGGAAGAACCTGAGCTGTCCTGCCCACTCAGTCCAAACACAGAACAACAGTGGGAACTGGATTTACAAAGTTTAGCCTTTCAGTCCGTTAACACGGAATGACATCGATGTCGCGGTGCTTTAACACTTTTAGCAGCATCAGACGTGGACAAACGCAGAGTCATATATTCTTCATTCTACGTGAAGAACGACTAATATTAGTGCCGTAAAGATGAGCTGAGAGTATTTGAGACATCCTCATCGAGAATGTATCCGTACGTATGTCATGGACTGCAGACAGCGGACACAAACTAATTGGTTTTCCATTTGATGATGTCATGACTGTTTGCTTTTATGAGGTCATATCTGAGAGCAGCGTTGAGTGTGAAATACTCCACCTTGCGTTCAGGTTCTGTTGCAGCCGGGTGGCGTTTACCTGAGGAGGTACCAGGCCAGCAGCACGACGATGAGCAGCAGCAGGGACAGGACCAGGACAGTGGGGAGGACGTGGTGGCCAGTGGACGGAACGCCCTCTGAGGAGGAAGGTGTGCGAATACTTCATCAAAAGTTTCTCCAACACGGAGGTAATAAACTTCGCTTCAGCACATTATGAGTCACACCTAGACAGCTTGTCACCATGAGGTGTCACATACGCTTGGGTTGCTCAGTATTATTATTATTATTACAAGGCAATCCTAATAAAAGCTAAAACTTTTGTGGTCTATCTGGTAGCGCTCAAACTCAGATGAGGTCATGGATAGTTACCCAGAAGTACGTTGGCGCCCGTTGTTTACCAACTTTAGGAAGCGGTCCATGAAGCGCATTGTTAAGCTGTAAATGACTGCAACGGGGTAAAGTGATGAGTGACTCGTGTGCTGCTTACCTTGTGTGTGGTTGCCATTGCTGCTCAAATTCGATGATGTTGTGGTTGCCACCAAAAACAGAAGCATTGTGACTGCGGGGTAAAAACAACAACAAGACGGATATTAAATTTCCCCGCATGGGAACGCCAAAGGGAGACTAGCCCCATTCAGATCGGAGGAATGTGCTCATCCAGTGAGAAGGAGTCACAATGGAGCGATACGCTCATATCCTGCTCATTCATTCGAGCCGCGCTCGAGTAAAAGGGCACGCTGTGCGTACGGCCGCAAGGAGGCGCAATTGTGCAACGTTTGGAAGCGAAGGCTCAGCAGGATGGCTTGTTTTCATTGAGAAAACGCAACTGAAAAGCAGTCAAGATGAACAAGTACAATAAATAGCTGACTTTTTTTCCCCCCCGGGTGGCCCAGTGTGGAGTGGTTAGCGCGTCGATCTCATAGTGTAAAGGTGCCGGGTTCGATTCCGGCTCCCGCCTCCCTGTGTGGCGTTTGCATGTTCTCCCCGTGCCTGCGTGGGTTTTCTGCGGGCACTCCGGTTTATTCCCAATTCCAAAAACAGGCATGGCAGGTGAATTGGAACAAGCGTGTATCCCAAGGTAACGGGGCAAAAAATAAGGTAACAAGGAGCAAATGAATAGCGGTCATTTCCTTGTCGAGGCTGTAAGGAAAGCAGACTACATAAAACATGCACACGTGAGCGACGCATGATTAATAATCAATAAAACGAGTGGAACGTGTCCATGCGCACCAGCACGAGGTAGCGAAGCCAACGTCTCGCAACGTCGGTTTTAAGCATCTCGAGTCTACACGACATTTAAGGCCTGCTGCTGCCAGCAGAGGACTTAAAACGCGACAGACCTTGAGAGGTTTCATTGTGTTTCCCGAGCACTAAAAAGTCACGACGCGTTCCAGCCGCTGGAGAAACCGCATCACCTCAAGGCTGCAGGTGTGCGCAGCAGCTGCGCTAAGAAAAAGATGAAGGGCTGAGTGTATAATCAATGAGGTGTTTGTGTTGCGGTGAGCTGCCAGGCCGTGCTGCGGCATCCCATAAAAGGGGATCGGCGGGGTGCGGGTGAGGGGGCACATGAAGAGGCGACGCCGGAGGAATTCGGAGTCAGCAGTGGCTGAGCGAGGGAGCAGAAGTATCACGTCAATAACACTTCCCGGGGCCATCAATAAAGCGCCACATGCGAGGAGACCCCGCCGAAAGACTGAGGACGGCATTCTAATGAGGAGAGCAGAGGAGGCGGGAGCGAAGACCCTCATCTGGTTCCTTCTCATGTTGGCTTCGGCACCCGCCTCCCTCTCGTGAGGCTCTCCAGGAAGTTCCAACAGCCCTGGATGAAGGTTGCACATTCAGGAGGGTTCATGATGTCATACGCTCGACTGGAAAGTCCCAAAATTGAGATTTAACTGGCTGTCCTTGCGCCCCACCCGCCGACCGACTTATCTTCATCTGTTAACACTTTTGCCTCACCTCACTCCGTGTCCTGACCAAAGCCAACTAACTGTCTGTCTTCCTTCCCTTCCGGAATATCCTCAATATTGCTATTTATAAAGCGACATCCTATTCCAGTAAGCGTCTCATTTTTCAGCGTCAGGCGGCCATACAGCACAAGTCTCACATTAGAGACGTGTCCCGCCCCCAAAACATGAGTCATTGTTTCGCCCGGGTCAGACGGTGGGCAAATGGCTACCGTGGCGTTTGTGCATTGCCCTCATTCCATTTAGCACTCGGAGGCGAGTCAACGGCCGTCCGCCATCAACGACAATTGGTGAGGCGTCTTTACTTTGGGAGAGGAGACGTTGGCAAGCAGCTTCGGGGAAGGTTATTACCCTGGCCAGACAGTTTGCGAGGCGCAGCAGTGTCTCATGTCGGAGGTCACAAAAGTCAGAATTGATTCCAACAAACGTGTGATAAGATTTGACATTGCTAAGATCGGCTTTTTGCTGTCAGCGTAGCTAACATTCCCATTTAGCGAGGCGCAGCGGTGTTTTCGAGGCGCAGCAGTGTCTCATGTCGGAGGTCACACAAGTCAGAATTGATTCCAACAAACGTGTGATAAGATTTGACATTGCTAAGATCGGCTTTTTGCTGTCAGCGTAGCTAACATTCCCACTTAGCTGGGCAATTTCATTTGTGGGGCTTAACATGCGCGTTAGCTTTCACAGGCAATTTAAAAAGTTCGGTGTTCTTATACCCGACCACAAATTAGGATCTCAAAACAGTTGACATCATTTCAAACTTCTCATACAACGAGCCCCTTAAAAATAAAAAAGCTTTAGATGATTCAACTTGAGAAATATGCACCCAAAGCAGATGTCCGGGCAGCAAAGATGTTCTCGAAACGCCTTCCGCTAACAAACAGAGTTAGACTTAGCTGCAGTTGAGATCAACTCAATCACTGCTCCCCGATTTGGAAGGATTATGGGGCCAATTTGACACGAGGGAAACCTGCTCACACAAAGCGATTAATAACACATCGACATAGTGCTATCCCGAGGAACGATAGGTATGATTAACATCGCAGCAAGCGAAAGCAATCAGTTAACACGCAGCGCGGCCGTGCCTTCACAATAGAAAATGGATGTTAATCAAAGCCTTTTGTCCTACGTCTTTGTTCGGTACAGTGTGAGAATTCCGATTCAGAGTGACTCAGGACAAACACAAAAAAAGCTTTAACCCCCACTGGACCGAGACGCTTTCTCGCCTTCAAAAGCGCACCGTTTTCCTGTGCGCAAGAGCGGCGTCGGAACAGCCGAACGTGGTTTTCGCCGGGCACAAAGCGTCTCTGTCTCCTCGCATACATCGGCCGGGGAATTCGCAATGTGGGCGGTGGGTGTCGCGGGGAATG